AGGTCAATTATCAAATCACCATCAGCTTTCCTAATCAATATTGCACCAGACTCGACCCAGAGTTCACTTGTATACCAATGATATGAGCTTGTGCATGTTGTTTAGAGATTGGGTTTTAGCAAGTCATTTATAATCCACGAGCTCATCCAAAAAGATTATTTCATTGATCTCATTGCTAGCCAATTAGCAACTCGCATGATTATATTCCCTTAATTTCTTTAGATTTGGATGAAGGATTAAACATTTAAAGCATAATGGTCATGCAGTCTGCAATGGTTGCAAAATTTAGATAGGTTCACAAACTTTGATTTTGACAATCACCATATTGTTCAAATCACGTCCATATTTTGTTGTCGAGTTTCTCTGAAATATCCATTTCAACTAAGAATTCTGCAAAAAAAAAGTTTTAAGAGAATTATCATAGATAAAAGATAATAAGTAAAGAGTGTAATGGTTCATGATTCGAACACAAAAATTAGGCAATGAGATCCAAATAAGAATGATTAGAGCTTCCTCAGTAACATCATAGATAGGTATAGTATAGGCGTATTAAATGACTATTAATGTAAAAGAATCTTTCAGAACAAAGTGTTGAGTATTTATCACTTTGATTAAGTCTAATTAGTATGTGTATTTTGCCTACAAGTCCTACCTTACACAGCATATCATGCCTACAAATGTCATCCATTCATGGTCAGAATTTCCCAAGGAGGTAGCATTCAATGGGGAAATCATTGCTTCAATTTCATAGTTGGAGTGCAGAACCACCATGTCACCTTTGCAAGAGGAAGGTTGCTAAAATTTTACTGGTGTTTACGCAGAGCATTTTTTGATTAAACTCTGTGAAATGAAATTAAAAGGTGGGAGGTCCAAGGAAGAAAACCTAAGCTATCGTCACCTTTGCAAGAGGAAGGTTGCTTAAATTTTACTGGTGTTTACGCAGAGCATTTTCTGATTAAACTCTGTGAAATGAAATTTAAAGGTGGGAGGTCCAAGGAAGAAAACCTAAGCTATCAGGTCGTTATTGAAGTGGATCACTGCATATTGTGTACAGGAAGAATGGTAAGAAGACAATATAAAGGGTAGTCACTAATTCACGATGGAAACAAACTTTAATTCAATGGATTAAGAAAACCCAGAATGCTAGCAATGAATATTAGAAACTCGTTAAGCAACTTTAGTCAGAAAAAAAAATCAGATATGACTGTAGATGAAGATGACATTATTAGAAACAAACTGCAATTTTTGGGTACATAATGATCTTAATTTGAAACAAAATCTTACATAAAACTTATCTTTCAGAGTATAGAATTCTTTCAAGCAGCACCAACATGTACAAAAATTTAAAACTAATGTTACGGTGTTCGGGTATGAAGAAAGATGTTGAATGTGTTAAATTGTGAAGCTTATCAAATTATAAAAGCTAAGCATCAGAGACTCGGTTAATTACTACAATCAATGTCTATACCTGAACGAAAATAGGAAGAAATTGTGACATAATTTATTATGGGAATTCCTAGATCAAACTAGAATCATGATAGCATTTGAGTGATTAAAGTCATCTCATTTATCGTCAATTAGCCAGACATACTCAATAGAAAAATTGAGCAGATGTTATGTCAAAAAATTTATCAAATTTCATAGTGTTCCCAAGGTTATTCTTTCTAACAAAGATAAAATATTCACATCCAGATTATGGAGAGATATTCAGGGAGGTTTAAGCAAACATTTGCACTTTAGTACAACTTTTCATCCACAAGCTGATGGAAAATTAGAAAGTACAATCCAATAATTAGAAGACCTATGGATACTTTGTATTCTTGACTTGGGAGGTAGTTCGGAAGTTTATATTCTGATGATTAAAGTCCCCTACAATAATAGTTACCAATCCCATATTAAAATGACTCAATATGAAGCATTGTATGATAGAAAATATAGAATTCTATGAAGTTGGGTTGAAGTAGGAGAACGCCAAATATTAGATCCTGAATTAGATGATAAAGCTACAGAAAAAATCTGATCAATCAAAGACAGATTAAAAACTACTCATGATCAACAACAAAAGTCTTATAACACAAGAAGCACAGTAGTAGAGTTTGTATTTGGTGATTTTGTGTGTTAGGTTAATAAAAAGGACAGTCAGATTTGGTCAGGAAAATAAGTTAAGCACCAAATATATTTGTCCTTTTGAAATAATAGAAGGTTGATCAAGTTTCTTACAAGCTAGTTTTAATTATTGATATGTCAAATATGCATGATATGTTTCACATATTAATACAAAAAAAACGAATTTCAACCTCAAACCAAAGGATTTCACAAGAAACTATATAAGTACAAAAAGATTTAACATACATTGAAGAGCCTGAGAGGAGTGTTGAATTTGATGTTAAAAATTTGAGGAATAGGCAAATTCCTTGTGTCAAGAGAAAATGGTAGCACGGGCCAGAAAACAAGCTACTTGAAAAAGAGAACAAAAAATATAAGACAGAAATTCCTCTTTCCATTAGGATAAGATATTCGAAAATTTTAAGAACAAAATTTTTATAAGAGACCAATTTTTGGTTAAATCAGGCAAAATTTTAATAATTTAAAATATATTCATTTTTGGCATTCCCCGAAATCCGACCGAGTAAATTTTATAAAAGTCTACAATTTTTTACGATCAACTTGATAACATTATATATATTGTGGAAACATTTGAAATTATAAAAAAAAAGATATTAACTTAATTTAAATAATTAAATCTGTAATTAAATATAATTAGACTCGTTAATCCTCCTATTGAACTATAACATCCCACTTTCTGCAAGCAACATGCATTGACTCAATGGATCGAACAGTCATGATTTAACTGAATCAAGTTAAAGGCCGCTCTTCCAATTTTCCCCTCCCGCAATTCGTTTCTGCGAGCTAGGGAATTTTAGCAATTTAGGCACTGTAGCGGGATTGAGCAAAACAAGGCAAGAGGGATCACCTAAGAAACGTAATGCTCGATGGGGAGTTTTGGGAAGAAACTGGTAAAGGAATTCTCCTTTCTAAGACATTTAGAACAGTTTTTTCTTTGAGCAATTACATTCCATGAGCCGAAGTATTTCAGCGTTTTCATTTATTATAATTGGAGGCGAACGTGTGGCCAGAATATGTGACTCGATTTGGGTAGAATTTTGAGATGTAAGCAGGTTGTAGAGATGGAAAGGAGCAAGAAAGAAAAAATATAAAAGAAACATTTGAGAGAATTTATGCGTCATTTTGAGGTGAGAATTGGTAAATAAATTATATTTGAGGTTAAATTAAGGTATGAGCTAAAATTACATGAAAATTCTAAGGGAAAAATTTTAGGCAGTGAGTTTGAGACGAGCTTAAGAAAACTGGACATATGGTCGTTCCGTCGACTCAAGCGAAATAATCATGTGTTGAATTAAGAAAAACATTTGTCTGTAGGATTTCTAGTTGATTTATTGATATACAATTTTATTTAAAAAATCCTACATATTATTAAATACATGCACATGTTACATGAATGCAAGTTGAGTTGACACTAATGATATTTATAATTTCTCTTTCTATTGATCTAGTGAGCATTTTTATTAAATCATTATTTGTAGGTATTCATATATTGTATATGCATATGATACATACTTTGTATGTGATCAATGATTATTATGGAAATTCTATTTAAAAGAATGTCACAGGTATTGTGATAGCTATGTTAATACATGAATGGTTTGCATGTACGGATGACAAGGACAATTTGATTCTCAACTCATAATATTTAGGCGTGACTAAAATTGTTGGTATCATGGGATTATTGATAACAAGTATGTTGGAAGGAGTTCAACATTTATCAAAAATTATTTTTAGTCGACGGACTAGGTGACGATCATACGACTAAATGAAAAAAAGTTGTAAAAGTCTATGCAATTACAAATGACATTCTTAAGGTGACAATTATTGGTTATAAAATCATTATGGATATTTTAATGATTGCACAACAATAAATTAACTGCATGTTTGTTGTAGTTGTACTTTTAGCTATATTTTACACCCATTATCTAAAATGATTCATATAATGAAAACATGTTTGTGCTACGCATTTCTAGCGTGTATATGAACTACGATTGCACATGACCGTAATTTTTTTTTCCTTCAAAATATTATTTAGCATTAATTAGTTCACTGAACTTATAGCACACTCATATATGTTATTAATTTTCATGAATGGGTAAGGAACACTAGGAGAGTATCCAGGTGTGATATTAAAAGATAAATAAAAGTAAATAAATAAATATTTCCCCAGTCCGCCTTACTCCGATGTACAAACCCCAGCACACCCTAATCCCAACTCAAACCCACCATCAACTCCTACCCAAAAGCTTGGAGGAAGAAATCACTACGAGGCTTGCAGGCAAGCAATAACTCACGATGGGAAAAGGCATCCGCGCTTGCAGGATAAGCTATGAAGCCCCTGCACATTTGTAGAGTTCTTCCCTTTTTTCTCCTTTTCTTTTTTCCACTAAATCCACGAAACAACAAAAATATTTAGTAAATCTGGGTATTTAAAATGTTCCAAATGACCGTCAGAAAGTATTTAAGTCAAAGCCCCTAAAAACATCCCTTAAATCTTATACCAAACAGCCCCCTAGCGTTCATTTATTGCATTCAGAAAATTTGCTAAGGACAGGTTGCTGCATGTGCCTCCCAATCTACCAGACATGCCTCAAAGGATCATTAACAATACACGACACAATATATTTTACTAATCCGACACCTGAACCGGCAAAAATGCCACATGAAATATGCTACTCATTTTCTGGGAAAACATGGATACCCAATCATGCCCGTCTTAATCCTGTATAAAACCGAATCCCATAGCCCTCCCCACTGTCACCTATAAGCAAAACAGCTTAGAAGCAGCCAACTGTCAAATGTTAGCTCACTATCTCCCGGTAATGCAAAAACTACATTTATCTTTTACATTGAGCAAAACAGCATATACTTACATGGCGAAAACCTAATCCACTGACAGAAAAGTTCACCGGAGGTGGCGGGGCTGATGAGGAAATAATGCAGAAGGAGTTGGTGAGAAACCGCACGTATTCTGAGGGGGCTTCATCACATATGAGATGAGAATGGCCGAGGCAACAAAGACACAACCTGCCATTGCAGGAACAGTCGAGAGGGGAATCAGGCGGTGGAGTGGGAAGCAAGGAGAGTATGGTACACTCCAGAGAGTTCACGCGGCGGCCGTATGCTCGCCGGAGAACTTCTGGTGGTCGGAGCCGTCTCCTCCTCCTCGCCATTGGCCGACGTGCTTCCTCGATCGATTAGGTTTCCTATTTTTTTCTTCGCCTGAACCTCTGACACCAGATTGGGAACCTCGAACCCCCTAAAAGCTTCTGCGACTCCGGCGTACGGATTTCTGCGCATTTTAATGCTCCGCCGTTTTTGTTCGATGTACGAATTGAGCATCTTGTAAATTGAAGCGGGAGCGGGAGAGACGTTCGTTAACGAGGCAAAATGAATTTATAGAAATTATATATTTATATGTGAGAATTCTAAAAAAAATAAAATATAAAAGCGAAATTTATCAAAATAAGCTTACAAATTAAGAATGAAGATCAGAATATATTTGTATAAGCTTTGTATATGGTAGCAGCAGTAGCGAAGCTAAGCAAGAAAATGTCAATTATTTATTTGACTAAATAAACAAATGAAGAGGAAAAATATCCACAAGTAGACTAAAAGATTAGAAATATTTGTTTTATATTTATGTTGTATGGAGTTGTATATACTTATGTCACTATCTAATTAATCAAGACGGGAATTATGGTTTGATTTTTTTTATATTTATTTTCTATGACTAATATTTAATAAATCAAAGAGTGACTACAAATAATATAATAAATTAAAATGATTACAAACTTACCTTAGTTCAAGTTATTCACCCCATTTAAAAACATTTTCTTCTTTTATTGTTCTTCTTTTAACGAAATGATTAAACATATAATATTAATTTAAATTAATTGTAAACTAAAAATATCATTAAGTACACCTACTTCTTCTTCTATTCCTTTATCAAATTCAGTAGTGTCTCTCTTGACATTGACTCCCAACACGATGTCTACGGTGTTTGTTGAAGACTCTAGCACATTCGAGTGATTCCTTCTCCCAGTATCTCTCGCCCATTTCTCTAATGGGGTCGAACATGAGAGAAGACAAGGGAAAAGCTCTCATGAAAATTTTGTCTTTGAAATTTAAAATATATGAATATGATTGATACCTCAAGCCTCAAAATCACTTCTCATTAAGCAGAAAAAAATCTACATTATCCAAAATTTTCATAGTTTGAATCTCGTTCAACAAGATGAAACATGGATACAATAAAAAAATGTTCTCCTACAAGATAACTCAACTAACTTCTTCCAACAACTAAAATATGATAACATCACATTTAAAACAAGATAACATGACAACAACAATACTATCCTCTACAAAAGAAATACACAAGAATGACACTCATATAACATGCAATAAAACATAACACTCTTCAATCCCTAGTAGCATCAACATTAGCAGTAGGTTCTTCAAACTCTCAATTAATTTGGGAATAAACTCAAGGTATTAGTATTTGTACTGGTTAAACTTGAGTAGGAGCTGAAATTATGGATTTTAGCCTTCTTTGCTCACCTATAGTCTTCTTGGAAGAAGCTCCACTTAAGTTTTGTTCTTCTGTTGTTTCTGTGAACAAGTGAAGAGCAATATCCAATTATGTGACCAGGCTGATGATGCCAATAGCATGTGTTGAAGCCCATCAAACGTTCACCCTTATGTTATTTTCCACATCCAATACAAGTAATTATGATACTATGAAAAGTGTCACCAATGAAGCGAACAAAACTAATTTTGGCCTTTTCCAAATTGAATCCTTATATTGATTCACATGCTCTCCTCCTTCAATAGTCTTTCTTTGGGTGTGTTAAAATCATATTTGACGCTTAATATTCTCAGCGTCATTGTTAACTCCGTTTGTGTAGTATAATAATTACATAAAGATTGTTGTGCAGCATTCAATAAGTCAAAGAAGTGTTGCAATTGGTTCAACAAATTGAGTTATGTGAACCACTTGAACCATTTTTTCAAAAGTGCTATGACATAATAATTTGTTAGAAGGTCATAACTTGTTGAGGATCCTCCTTGATCGAATTGAACTTCTATTTCTTCCTCACCATGTGCAGTACAGTATCAATAATTAGGTTTAAATCTCTTACAATAAAGATCCAACTTAACTTCTTCAGGTCATAGATACACTAATTTTTTATGTTTCGCACAAGGACATTGAAACTTTCCCTCTGAATGATAAATGAGCAGTTGTGATGCCACAAAGAAGAACTCCTCAACACCATTCAAGAACTCATTTGTGAGTCTTTTTCATCTTGGATATAATCTGTTATACATTCATAACTCTCGAATTATGAATATCCAACTGCAATATAGACGTAGCTTTACAAATCAGTACAACTATTACAAAAAAACAAAAATTAGTCAATTATGATCAATATTTACAATTGACATTACTTGTTCAAGCAGAACTAGGAATCTCCCAAAGCTCATCAGTTGATCAACATGAATTCTACAAATAACATCCCCATTTATATCACTGTCACTTTGAACAATCGATGCATTACTCCACTACATCAACCAACTAACTTGAATTCTACTAATAGCATTCTCATCTATATCAATGTCACTTTGAACAATAATCAAGTTGCATTACTCCACTAGTTCAACCAACTAACTTGAATTCTATTAACACCATCTCTATCTAAAACCTAATCCTGTGTATAAACATACTTAACACTCGGTACTTATGTATATAAATAGCTAGATTCACATACATATCACTCAATACTTATGTATACACATACCTAACACCTAAAATTCATTGCATAAGGAGATTTGCATATATAACACTGAAATCTTATGTACATATATACTTAACACCTAAACTTCAAATCTTACATATATACCAAGCTATCTAAAATGTTTGCTACTATTAACGATATCCAACTGCAGTAGTTGAATATGTGCAGGACAAAAGATATATCTAAAACGTTCACTACTTTTAAAGATTTGACCATCTATTGTAACATAAATGGGGTTTTACATACATAACATTTGAAACTTTCATATTTACCTTTCTCACATCTATACTTTAGTAATTACAAATGGCATATGAAAAATAACACTCATTATTACCTTTTAGTAGTCAAACCTAACTTTTCTTCCATAGGCAAGGTGTTATGTGTGTTAAAATGAAATTTTAGGTGAGGGATATGTAAATCCATAAGAATTTGGTGCTATGTATGTAATTTTCTCTAAAAAATATCATCACTGAAAAACATACCTTTTTCAATGGTTTCTAGTATAAGAGAAATATGGGACTTTCGGTGGTCTCTGTAAGTTGTGATCTCGTAGTTGCCTTCTCAATTGGCTCTAATGGCGACTGTATTGTGAAGTTTTGTTCACGAAGGTGAGGGTTTTGAGAGGTATCGAAAGGAGGAGGGAGATAAAAGAGGATTCCATTAGAGATGGGCGAAACCGGTAGAGGGGGAGATTGTAAGTGAAGGTTTCGTGAATGGGTGAGAAAAAAATGAGGTTTGAGGAGTGGGAAAAAAATTTAAAGACATTGGCGTCGAATTGTGCCAGATTATTTTGACACAACTTTCTAACTTCAAAGTGCTACAAAATTTGCGTCAACTTTGCGTCACACATTATTCGATGCAATTAAATATGTGACTGCGTCGACTTCTTCGATGCAAAGTTGATGCAAAGTCTGTCGCAATCAAACATATCAGTTCAATGTTTTGAATTCAACATTTGCGTCGAATTGTTCACCGCTGGTTACACTTAAAATTCGACGCAAATATCAAAACTCAATTTTCGACGAAAATCAACCAAAATTCTTATGCTAATATTTGTGTTTGAAAAATTCAACACAAATATCAGGCACTACATTTTATCTCCTATAGTGATGAGCGTCAGTTGGCTACAAATGTCATAATATGAAGCTGCATAAGTTGAGAGTCATGAGGTCATAGTTGGTCACATAAGTCATAGTGGTGAGTTGTGATGACGTTCGTAGGCCGTAGAGGACAGAGTGGAGCTGAACGAGCTATGGACCATGTAAGCCCTAGTTGGCCACTCTACATGAAACATGTAAATTAGCATCAGATTAGAATTCAAGGCAAAATTAGCATCAAATTTATGTCAGTTTACTGTCGAACGTTATTACCTTTTTTAAAAAATGTACACCATGTGTTAGCGTCGGCTTTTGAGTAGACAATTCTTGCATTATTAAATAAATTATTAGCATCAGAATTTTTCAACAAAAACTCTAACGCTAATGCCCTAAAATACCGAAACCATCGACCAAGCCGTGTTTCTTCCTCTCCTCCTTCTGCACCATGTGCTCTAGCAATTTGATTGTGATTTCTCTCTCTCGAGTTGGTTGGTTGTCTTTAGTCATTTTTCTCTAGCGAAATCGTTGCTCTGGTGACCATCACAACTCTCCAAACAAAAGGTAATGTTCTATTCTTTCACGCGTCTCCTTTTCATTAGATTTTTCATTTTTTTCAATTATAGGTTTGTAAGACTTAATATTTGAGTGTTGGGTATTTAATGCATATAATTAGCTTTGTACGTGGTATTTGAAATACCATTCTTACAGGATTTTGGGAATTGATGGTTAACATATTAAATCCCCTTTTTTTTGTTCTTCTGAATGGTGCATTTTTTAGATGGCCGAAAGTGGGCAACTTGGCAATGGTAGTTGTGATGTATTTATCTCTATGATAATTTATTATGAGAATATCAAAGCTAATAAATTTTTCGGTTGCCTGCGGCTATTATCTCTTGTGAATGTTAGTAAGTAATTTTAGTTGCTCGTTTTTTTAGGAATGTGTATGTTATTAAATTTTATGCTAGATGGTATTTCATTTGTGCTAAATTGGATGGATTTGTATTAAATAGACATTACTTCAATTAGTTAAATGTATGTGAAGTTATACTTTTTAGAAGAATAAATGTTTCAAGTGGCATTGTCATAGCTATCTTGCAATTCTATAGAGATGGAAAGTTTATGTCCAGGCTTACGAAGGGCTTCAGATTTTCTTTGTAGAAAATTCAGAATTGTTTAATTTCTAAGATTCTCGTACAAAGAAAACCACATGAAAGTTTCATAACCAAAGATTTAGGTGCAATACCTATTATGAGTTCTTCAACACTCCTATAAGAGCAAACTCTTATAGCTAATTACATCTCAAGTAGCTAAAGCTACTAAAAAAAACTCCCAATTAAGACTAACGTTTACTCATAGATAAGTTTTAAGTGTCAAGGTCAAGGAAATAAACATCAATATTTGATCCTAGGATGAGGTCACAACACAGTTTGACCAGCTTAAGATGAAATGTTTGTTGGTCGAG